AGAGATTTCTTTTTCTAATGGTCCGTGCATGATCTATACATGTGTGTTTATAAACGGCCAGATATCCTATGATTGGATACAATTGAGAAAATACTGATGTTTTATTTATGTGAATTGGTATAGCGGGGGAATTGTGACTCACAATATGATATTTTATTTTGATTATGTAATACTTCATGAACAGCCTATTAGAGCTTGTTGTGTTTTGTTTTTGCTTAGTACATGTTTTGTAGTTTAGGATTTCATCCAATTTCGGAGCAACGAAGGAAGTGTTGAGTTCCACTTAAAATCTTATTCTGAGAGCATATAGGTATAGTTTTGTTGTAGTTTTGATATCAGATGAATGACCTTTTTAAGTTCAGCATATGTGAATTTGGAGTAAGCACGCACGTAGCGCAAAGAAAAAGAATAACACGAGAAAGAATCTCCAAAATTCTATTCAGAATTCTTTTTCAAAAATTAATCTAGTCGAAAAGCATGATTCACCAATATTACCCTGAATCGCGCCTAGATGACGCGTTATATCAATAGCTTTTGGTTACCCGTGCGAGGAGAATATGCATTTTTAGATGAGGGAGATTACAAAACTATGTATTTCAGGCGACATAAAAATGTTTTAACCCCATGAACTGACCCTGATTAAGGTTTCAACAGCACTTAACCCGTGGGAAACTGGCCACTTGTTCTAATGTGACGTCATCAACAATTCGCCACGGCGCGTAGAAGCATTTTATCTTCGTCTAACATGATCCTAATATAAGGCACTGTTTTATCGTGATTTATCCGCGAACCGTGCTTGATGAAAACTTTTTTATTCAAGTTATCAATTTTAATGCAGACATAAAGCACATTCTATAATCGTGTTTTACGATATGTTGGCGCCTACAAGGACAATGTTCACAAAAAGGCGGAAAATTAATGAGGGATGAGCAATTAATTGTCTGCTATTAAGATCAAGTTAAGACAAGTATATCGTTTTTATCATGTATGTATAATAATGCAATTGCTACAGGCAAATCTTTATAGGGATCGACTTGCAGTACCGAATCCTGACTACTAAAAGAATATTATTATGGAAATTATAACTAAGGTTACCAAACTGTGAACTGTTGACTTAGAACTATTTAAACAAAGACCAGTAAACTTCAGACTACAGACAGACTTTTTGCTTTTAGTAATGGAAGAAGCGAGTATCATGTACATCAAAGATATTGACCTACCAGTGCGGGTTTAAACTTCGATCGACCACCATCTCGTTACCATTTGGTTTAAAAAGGAATCAAAAATTTGAGGTCCCTGCCAACCGCCTTTATGTTATTTTCAAAGCAACATTAACCAATGCTGTCCATAGTGGAGGGTGTATATATTTGACGATTAGACCTCAGTGAACGTTCTTTTGTGAGTTAATTTACTTTTATCGTTTAGAAACTCCGCTCCTCCTTTTGATTTGAAAAGGTGGTATTATTGGAATTAATTTAATTACTGTGTAAGGTAATACACGGGTGTTGGCTTATTTTTCATTAATTGGCTTAGAAGCCTTAGATTGGACAGTTTTTTCTTTGAGTGAAAGCGCTGCATAATAAGTTTGGTAACCTTTCAACGTAAAGTTGTATTGTAAAAGCATTTTCATTCGTGGTTGAGATTCGTTTATATTTGGATGAGGTGCACTTATTTGCGGTTCATGGTTGGCTTCTACAAAGATTGATTTAATGTCCATTTTTGATTAGTCGTACTTACAAAATATTCAAATCCGAAATATCGAATCGTTTGAATAATTTACGAAAATCGAATTTTTTAATCTTGTTTGAATGTCGCTGCATTGCACAATGGCAACTATGCAGTATTGTCATTTTAAGATGCAGTTTTCGTGTAATTTATTGCTTAGATTGGAATATTACATCGGAATAAAGTCATTTTTCGTGAAATGATTTTAAAATGTTTTCTTGGCAATTTACTGAAGGTCAAATTCAAATGCTTCTAATTTACTTTGTCTTGGTATTGTACATGATCAAATATAATTCTTCGGCAACGGTGAACAACCAAATTACTGTAAATTTTGTTTTCATTGAAAACAAACAATTTAAAAATTTCAAAGATCGTTGTTTGTGTTCAAACCATAGAATTACGAACAGATAATCCACAAAACGACTAAGCTAAATCATACGTGAAAAGACTATAACAAAAGCCATATATTTTGGCATTACTTCTTGAACACATAAACATGGTCCGTAGTTGAAACCAAAATGTCACGTTACGATCATATGTGGCCAGGAATACTTCTTACATATAGCTAACTATTTTTTATGGTAAATTAGTTTAATAATGGCAGGCGCGGTTTCCTGGAAACTTACACCTTATATTGTGTAATTAAAATTAGGACGAATGACGCAATCTATTTAGAAATTCCTTATATTGTTATGTTTGATTTTTTTTTCATTTTGTTACACGTTTGCTGTTTAATATTTTCGAGGAAAGGATTTCGTGTTATTAGTTTTGAACGTTATAAAATCGTTTGACATTTTATTATCGATCTTTGTCTTCGCTTGAAACAAGTTTTATTTTTGCCCGATTTTCGAATTTTGAAAACCATTTAATTCAATAATAAATCTAAGAAGGTGGAAGACGTCGCCTTCAATCAAGCATATATGGACCACAATAAATATTATTTCGTTTCAAACCTAGCACGTAAACAGTCAAGTTTGAAATTTTATGGCCTTATTTTAGCTAGAATCTAGCGCGTTGACATTCTTTCTTTAGTCATTCAATTCAGACAGTATGATGGTTTTCATCGGAATAATGGCGATTAGTGAAATAAATGAGTGTACATACAACATGAAGGGTCACTTGAAATTCAGAGTTGGAAATTTTACAATCTCTTTGCCAAACCGTTTGAGGTTTAATGGGTACGTTCATGTATTATTCATGTGATACTACAGTGGGGTATTAGCATCGAAACTGTTCCTTTGACGGACGTTATTCCGCGATAGTTACTCATTGTCTTGAATGGAACGTATATATTAGCAGGATACACACGAATTTTATCTTTGATTACATATGGAGTGTGATAACCTACCGATTCATTTGCGATATTCGTTGTTTAAAATGCGGTAAAACTTGGCGCCATTCAAGGCTCAATGAACTCAAATAAGGTTGCCAGGAGTTTAACTGAAATTCTGAACGCTAATGTACTTTGCAATTTTTTTTAGTATTGCAAATGAAATTGGTTTGTTTGTTCGAATAATTAATGATATAATCTGATAATGGACCCTTCTTTAAATCTACCACCATAATTATGCAATGGTGAATTTTTTCTACCGTTTCAAAGTCTTTATTTGTTTTCTATTGAGCGATTCTGTCGCCAGACAACCTGGTAACGACTTTGTTTTCTTTTTGTGTTTATCTTAGATGGCTCAGAAGCTTTATTTTGGGTATACTGTATTCATCTTTGTATGCTAGAGCTTTTGATCAAATGAAACGACAATTAAATTGCAATGATGTAATTCAAAAATTCAAAACAAAACTATCTTGAATAATGAATGCTCTTTAACGTGCTTACGTTGCTGTTAAATTTCCTCGAGAATGCGAGATTCGGAATGTGCAAAATTTCACAACAATTTCAAGTGTTATATCCTGCTTTTTTATATTTGAGCTGTCAAGTTACTCGATAAAGAAAAAATATTGTCTACGGAACATATTGCAAGCTGGAAACATGTATTCAACTTCTTCAAATATACTATTATAAATCCACACTGTCACATATCACATGTAGACGATTACGACAATTATATGTTTATTTCTGAACAGATCATTGTAAATCATGACAAAAAAGTGACCGAATTAAAGCTATTGCGTGCACATTCTTATGTTTCGATGTGATATTTATTTGTTTATTTTCGAGGAAATTGATTTTGTTTAGATACTACCATCTATATTTCGTACGTAGAACGTACCAAACATTTAACAAATAGTTAGCACTAAATCCTTCGATTAAAACAATGACCTATTTATCTAATGCTAATACAAATAAAGGTGACGTTTAACGATGGTGTTTGTCTGATAATGTAAATGCTGCCTGTAGTTCAGTTAGATAATATCAGCTGTTGCAAGACGTCACTTAACGAAATCTTCGCATAGACTTCTTTGGCGCCAGTTTACAAATATCAATTAAAAATTAACGTTTTTTTTTAGATTTTTTTTAAATTTCAATGCCAACTATCCAATGTACATTGATTGAAATATATATTGATATTGTCAAAAAAAAAAAAATTTGGTGCGTAAATTAGAATTTCATTTATAACTTAGTTGAGTTTCAATTAGTTATCTACTAATCTTTAATATTCCTAATAACACGCCCTGGCAATGACTTCATTTCCAATTAGCAACACTCGAAAATATAAAAATCGCAGATGATATGTCGATATCATATCACCGATTGTTGTCATGCTCAGGTGTGAGAGAATTTAGAATTTGAAACAGAAAAAAAGAAAAAAGATTGTCGCGCGAATTCTCTCACTTTTACTCGAGCAGATTTCGACTTCGGATTTTCACGCCAGTTTGCAGTGAAAGGAAGAACCGTAACGGTTGCGGCACCGGGAGGACGTCGTTTATTATTCTAGCATAAAATTTGGAATTTCAATTTTCTTTGCAAAATTAAGTGAATTGTTTGATTATCTAGAAGTGAGAGATAACAAAAGTTGTAGAAAATCAAATCGACCGAATAAAGGCACGCGATGTTTAGATGTTCGTCGCAAATTAGGAGACATCACAGGAAGTGAAAGGGACTCGCGCGGAGATACTGTATAACAAACTTTCAATTGCCAGGAAGAGCAAAATACAATTTATAAATTCCAAGTGCCAAGAATAGGAACCAATTTATGTTTATTTTATAAATTTGATGTTGGAGAGTATTTAAAGATAAAAAGTTAACAATGTTAGGACAAAGATGTATTTTTAACTAAAGACGAGCATGTTTATCCTTTTTAAATTCATCATGTTATTCCTGCATATCTACAGTTCAATTTGGTGTAGCTTTTTTAAGTTGCCTTGTGAAATTACTAAAATTTTTGTATTTACAAATTGTGCTGTCATTGTCGTTCTATTGTACCATTACGTGTGCGTACAGAGGAATATAAACTTCAAAAACAAAATAAAAGCATCATCTGTACTGAGGAGATAACATTTTCTGGCTTGTATATGATGTAGAGAAGCCTACGCTTGAGAAATACTTCTTAACTTCAACCAATATCGCAAACTTTCATCATTCTTCCGGGATTTAGCAAAATCGCTCTTGAGACGAACGTAGGCAACGTAACATTTGGTAAGTGTGATACTTTACTCTATGTCACGATAGGTACTTGACTACATTACGTTTTATTTTGATTTTAGACCTGTAATAGTAGCTAGGAATGTCGACAATAGTACTATACCTTGCTAAGCTTCTTTGAGTGGATTCAGCTCCCTACTTATAGATTCCTATTTGTGGCAACGGCACACACAGCGTTGCACAAGAAAAACGTAGATTTTGAAGCCCCAGTACGGCCATGCTATGGAAAATTTAAACCACCTCAAGCTTGATATAAAACACGGCCAGCTACTTTCCTTTTCAATTTTTTTCGTGGATTTTCATACTTGCATTATATAAAGTTTGAACAAGTTTCCTAACAAGAATTGAGTTTTTATGAGTTACAAATAAAAACAGTGACGTTTAAATTTCATAATGTTTAATTGAAGTGTTGTATACTGAAATAGTACCTCAATAGCACTTCTTTCTGAGAAGGTTTTGAGCATTACCATCTTCAAGCATCATATTTAATGTATCCAACTCCACGATTAAATCCTTTTTAAAACGTAAAGTAGAATAAATATTGATCTGCGGTGAGATATAAATCCATCATTAGAATCATAACAAATACATACTTACTTTTGTTACTTCACAGTTTTGTGTTTTCTTACGCTACGGGTCGACAGGCTCAAATTTTAGACGAATAAATATCAATTAAAAATTAACGTTTTTTTTTTAGATTTTTTTAAATTTCAATGCCAACTATCCAATGTACATTGATTGAAATATATATTGATATTGTGAAAAAAAAAATTTTTTTTTGTGCGTAAATTAGAATTTCATTTATAGCTTAGTTGAGTTTCAATTAGATATCTACTAATCCTACTAAACACGATCACAATGAATGTATCAATGGTGTACACGGCCTAGTACAGTACATAGCTAAAGTTCGCACACAGTTTGTTTCTGATCCATTCTAAACCAATACCAATGGTTGGGGTGAATTGGTAGCTTTGTCACAGTAAAACGTTTCAAAACTTAATATTGATAGCACACCAATATTAATTAAACATAAACTAGAAAAGTTCAATAAAACCTATCAAAACATGGTTATAAAAATCCCAAACTAATACTTATTATTAAAAATTTTCACTCGAAAATAAAAACAAGAATACGAGAACAAATATTTTGAATTTTATTATGATGCCATAGGCTTCGTGAATGATATCGACCGTTCATATTTGAGATTCAGGGGTTTCGGACTGTAAATAATGTTATATAAAGGTGGCATATATTAGTGAAATTTGTCTTCAATTCTGTCCATACGTCGTAAATTATTATACTTAAGTTAGTATCATTTAGGTAATTAGTGTCAAAAGTTTTGTGGATTTATGATAAGTTCAATTTTTAATTAGCTTATTATTGAACTAGCGATCTGACCAAAATAAAAAGTATTGTTTTATAGCTCATATATATTTTTTATATAATGTAACCATAAACAAACAGCAATAAATCAAGGAGTAAAAATAATTTATATTGTGTCCTTCATTAGACATGTCACATGTATATGCTCAATATTAAACGAATTTGTTTACGTAAATTGTTTTGGGAATTAGAAGTTTCGAAGTGTAAGTTCTATTTCGTTTAGTATGGCTGCCTCATTATCACTCTCCCAATGCTTTAAATGAGAACAGATGTGCCGTTCTATACGTACAAATTGTGACCTAAATCATTTCCAATGTTCGTTCCCTGTTATCGCAGTACGACACAATTAATTATTTTAGCATAGGATTATGCTAATCCTTACCGGTAAATGGGTTCACACGCCTTTATTATGCATCAGATTTCTACGCAGCCTGCGGACGGCTTACTATAATACATTTACCTCATGAGTGATATATTGAATCTTATGCTTAATTTATAATATTCATTTGCATACATTACCGTAAAGACCGGGCTGAAATGTATTTGCAAACTGTATTTTGAATAGACAGTCTTTTCGAAACCACTTTTCTGCCTCCTATTGGGAGAGTAACTTGGCATTTCCTTTTAATGAAATTAGCCCAAAACTTTGCCATAAAACAACGGAATATCTTAAAGCAACAGTAAATGGTCTAGTTGCTGCAAAAATTCTTAAATTTAGTCGAATCTATGACTAGCTCCAGAAGCATAGGCTCATCATATGGCATATTGAACGTATCATGTAGTGTGGTTGATTTTTTAACAGTTTCTAAATACAGCTTATTACGATCCTATATATATATCGATCTATCGACGGAATACTTACTATAGCTGCTTAAATAAAGTTACGTTTGAAAATTTAAATCTGTGCATGCACGCGAACCGATTTGGCTTTAATTAAATGCAAATGGCAATACGATATCGGGTTTGCGAATATCGATCGGCTGACGCACGCAAGATTTTGGCTCGGGGGTTGTGGGGTCGCAAATACACCGACTTTAAAATTGGCTCAATCGATACAGCCTTTTACGTGCCATAATCTAAGATGGATTGGTAACAAATGGCTTACGACAGTAAGTACCATTCTATAGTTGTTCAAGTACATGTTTTTCTAGTTTCAAGAGAGCTCAAGGACTATCGCACTTATTTCTAGCCCAGAAAACATGGGAGAAATTTATCCAGGTTGCCAATTTTGTTGTGCAGAGATTTAGAAAAACAAGAAAATGGCAAACAAACAAAAAATTAAAAAAGCGAAACTTGGGTGCTTTAAAACCACAAGTATTTTTATTAAACAAATGTTGAAGATTTCGTCTTAACTTTGTCTTTTCAACTAGATTTGACTCAGACGGAACTAATTTTATGGAGAGATATGGAGTCATTGCGGTTTTTATTTCCCATGATCTATAATTTAATTTGGGTTTTTGATTCAGAGTTCGAATATATTAATTTTTAAACCCGTTATGGACCATCAAACATATTGTGAATAGTAATTTTCCATAAAAATCGATTTAAAAAAAGTTGGAAATTCGACATATTTATTACTTTTACCGTTTCGCGCCTTTGAAAAAACACCAACAACACTTAAATTCGGATAATTAGAAAAATTGGCATTTTTAAAACGACATGTCGTTTGAACTGCGACATCAGTTATGTTTAGACAAAACATTCAAATTACAGCGCTCAATAGTCAAATGACATGAGTGATGCGCGAACTGATTGAAAGCACGAACACCTAAAATGACACCAAAAGGCGTTGGCGTTAGAAATTTATGGCAATACTGTGTATAATCCAATATAAATTGTTTATCCATCGCATTTTATGCTGATTAACCAAAATTGTGTAATTTAGAATGCTAATATACAAGGTGTAAACAGCTACCAGACGTTTTTGTCATGTATCCATTATAATTATCTCCCCAATTAGCATGATCGTAATCGGAGAATGAAGGGTAGTTTGTTAGTTTAAGAGCGTTGCTGCGTTACCAAATATGGACACTATGCGTTTTCGTTTGCACTTGCAAGTAGTGTCAATTCTAAAAACGTTGTTTTCGCTTCATGGGCGGGAAATAAAGTTTTCATTCGCGTTCAATTTTTGACTAATGGAAATTTAGTTTCCTATTACTGAAGACATTTTTTACGGTAATATATCCGATCTACTTTTTACTATCGCTTTTTGCTAAGCAATAAATGTATTTTATTTTAAAACCTACAGCTGATAAGTTCTGGAAAAAAGTACGATCAATTTTTCATATATTTATGACTTTTAGGTGGTAAATTTTTATGCTCCTGTATTCTCCGTTTAATCTTTCCAGACACATTTTTACATACCAAAGTTTCATTTTATTCAAAAAATTACGGCGCCTAAAGTTTTGTATTCTTTGATGTGTTCAGTTACTAAGTGGTCTTAATACCCACCACAGTACTTTCAATTCGCATATGAGTCACTGCAATGAGAAGCTACTGTCGCTAGTTTTGGTTTTTGTTCGAACTCATTTTATTCATCCATCACCCTCTCCCATCGTCTCGATGGATATTGTGTGCTGGTGTCAGCCGATTCGATAGGATTATGGGATTTTTGTACTGGTTTGTTATTTACTATTCAACGGGGCCTGGTATTGTTAGTTGTTAGCCTAACATTGATAACCCTTTATGTTAGCGGAAATATAACACCCCGATATCGATAGTGAATTGAAAGGCGAAGACAGCCGATGGCGCGTCAAACTCGTATCACGTGGCGTGTTTGTTACCCGCGATTTTACGTTCAAACCAATCTTACTGTTTTTGTCCAATGGTTATGATCGGTTTCCTAAAGATCACGAATGGACCACACATGTTAATTTGGCCAACGACAAACCAAAGAGCGCTATGGTCAGAGCTATGGGAATTCAAAACTCATCGTAGTCCATTGGTATTATTTACTGGGAAAGGTCGCCATTTCAATTAACCTCATTATGATGACGCATCATCACAAATTAATTCAATTATAAAATCATGAAATCATGTATGATTTGAACTGACTCATGGATAAAACTTGCGAATTTTGGTCAATTTATAGTTATATTTAGTTTTGGACATCATGTTGATTTGGCGATATCGGAACAATAAATATTGGAGATTGTCCAAAATGGGTTTCCAAAAATGAAATATATAATATTAATATACAGAATCAGTGTACAGATGACATCTCAATATCTTCCATCGGTTATCAATTATAATTTGCACCCGAAGTTCATTTCAATATTGTTGTGTCACAATAGAGTTTTGAGTTCGTCGAAATATATCAGCAGGAATGATTTCAAGTGGGCACTTGTTAATTAATTTAACGTGATCATAATAATGCTCCATCATCAATTAGACTGTCAACAAACCTATGAAATGTAAACAGAATTCCTGTGGGTTCAGCTGCCACAAAAGGATCCAAGAGTTCGTTCTCAACCCATGACAGATATTTGAATGTTCGGCCATACTTCACAGCAACATTTTAGAGTTTTGTTGATATCAAAATATTACTGGCTGTGAGGTTAACTAAATTAGTGGAAAATCAAACATTAACTGGTGGTAATAAAACAAACCGG